AGCTACCATGTGGCTGCTGGGAATTGAACGTCTAGAATAGCAGCCAGTGCTCTTAAATTCCGAGCCATCTCTCCAGCCCCCAGGTATTGCTTATTAATAGCGAATCAGACACAGGATGAGTTTTATGAAAGAACAAATAAGCAGTTTGCTAAAAAATATTTGCCGGTCATATGTACAGTTTAAACTAGCTTGAACTATAAAGTATGAAAATGTTCACTTTTCTTTACAACTTTTGTTTTCTGTTCCTTATCTACACTATTTCCCAGTAATTTGCATCTGTTCTGCCAACTGCAAAGCCTAACTTTAAAATGATGACGATACATGTTTTATCCCAAAGTTTTACTTTTACTTGAGTCATTTTTGTTTTTAATTTATAGATACCATCACAGCCATGTTAGACTGCGCAGACAGGCCTGTTCTTCAGGACATTTTCCTTAACAGTAATTGCTTTGAACATCTCATACGACTTCTACAGAACTGCAAGGTACTATATTATCAACTTTTTATATTTATGAACATTTGTTTGTTTGTCTATTTACTTATTTGTGTACAGGGACGTGTGCCACAGCATAAATGTGGAGGTCAGACTTGTGGGAGTTGGTTCTGTTTTAGCATGTAGGACTTAGGGATTAAACTCAGGTTGTCAGGCTTGGCAGCAGTGCCTTATCCTTCTGAGCCATCTTGTTGGCATTGTTTATGACTTTTTAAAATGTTATTGTTTTAGTAGTGCATGCCTTTGATCTCAGTGCTTAGGAGACAGAGGCAGGTGGATCTCTGGGAGTTTGAGGCCAGACTTGTCTATGTAGTGAGTTCTAGGACAGTCAGGGCTACATAGTGAGACCTGTCTCAAAAAATCAAAAAACAAACAAAAACAATAACAAAGGTTTGTTTTGATTCAGATTTGAGCATGCCATTGCAAAAAATTTTATTGTCAATTTGTGTTTGCATTTCATTATATTGTCAACTTTTATCTTTTTTGCCAGATAAACTGATTTATTTATCATTATAAAACTAGACTATATTAGCATATGTACATATATACTCACCCCATCTTAAAGGTGAGAAAAGTGAGGCACATAGATTTATACCCTGTCCAGGATCACAGACCCAGTGAGAGACAGAAGTAGGACTCCAGCCAAGGCTGTCCTCTCTGATGGTGTGTAAGTATCACTGGGTACTCTGCCTCTCACGCTCTCACTAACTCAGCCTAGGCTCGGAAGAGGGCAGGAGCATTCAGTCCATACATTCTGGTCTAGGAACTCGGCAGATATTTAAATCCTCCAAGCTCAGAAAAAACTGTTAAAGCAATCTACTCACTGTCTACATGTGGTCAGGCTTTATCTTAATTGAAGCTAGAATTACATTATTTATAATTGTCTGAAGATAGTAAAGCTCATGTGATATTTGTGTGTGATATTTTAGTTTAGGAAATAATTTATTTTCCAACAGGCATTGATACATATATTTATATTTAGGACCATTTAAAGTCATGGACTACTGATTTCTTGATTCACTAATTTCTCTTGAACGTACAGATACAGTCAAGGTTCTCGTGCTGTGTGGCAAGCCCTTGTATTCACTGAGTCATTTTCCAGCCTCTTTTTTAAATCAGAAACTCTTTTTTTTAGACTGGTTTCAAATCACAGGCATCCACCTGCCTCTGCCTCCCTAGAAGCTGGGATTAGAGACATGGACCATCACTGCCCAGCTTCAGTTAACACTTTGAAGTTTTATAAATGGAACTCTATTTTTTGTAGAATTCCTAGTCATAGGGCATAGAGTAGACCCAAATGTTTTTAAAAGTAGGAAAATTTGTATTAAAAAGTTGCAACTAAGTAGAAAATATAGAGAGCTGAAAATAATAGGAACACTGTTAAGACTCATGGTACATGTTGGTAGTTTGTTTTTCACTGTTGTTACTATTTACCAGTTTCTACTTGTAACACAGTTTGAGAGAGTGAGGGCACAACAGCTAATGTTTCTGCCCTTCATATTGTATGCCCATGGATTTAAGATGTTATCAAAAGTTTTTAGAAAGGTTAGAAATGAAACTGCTCCATAGATCTTATATCTTTCTATTAATTCTTATACTTCCTAGTTGAAAACACTTGGTTGATTCTAATATTATTCCTCAGTAAGGATTTTTGTTTTTCTCACTGTAAAATGGTATATCTCTGAAATTTTTTAATATTACTTCATTTCTTACTTTATAATAATAATATAGTTAAATAGAGCAGAAAATGCATTTAATATAATGATGTAGTCTGTAACAACAAAGATTTTAGAAGTTGTCAAAAACTTCTGAATTCTGGTTAGTCAGCATGTCTTACCCCCTGTCTTTTTTTTTAAACCTCATGTCTTTTAAATATTATTTATGTGAAAAATATCATAGAGAGATGAAAATGCACAACAGAAATATTTATAAAACACTTTCATTACTGATGAATATCTTGCACATCACCATAGACCCTTCATCTGGCGATGGATGAAGCTATAGACAGAGACCCACATTGGAGCACTGGACTAAGCTCCCAAGGTTCAAATGAGGAGCAGAAGGAGAGAGAACATGAGCAAGGAAGTCAGGACCTGAGGGGTGCGCCCACCCACTGAGATGGCGGGACTGATCTAATGAGAGCTCACCAAGGTCAGCTGGACTGGGACTTAATGAGCATGTGATCAAAACTGATTCTCTGAACGTGGAGGACAAGGAGGGCTGACTGAGAAGACAAGGACAACAGCATTGTGTTTTGATCCTACTGCATGTACTGGCTTTGTGGGAGCCTAGTCTGTTTGGATGCTCACCTTCCTAGACATGGATGGAGGGGGCGGGGGACCTTGGACTTCCCACAGGGCAGGGGAACCCTGACTGCTCTTTGGACTGGAGAGGGAGGGGGAGGGAAATGGGAGGAGGGGAGGAGGTGGAAATTTTTAATTAAAAATAAAAATCTTTTATTGTAAAGACAGTATGACTTTTTCACTTAGGAAGGTAGCATCAGTAACAAAGTCATCTCTGTATTATTAACAGAATCTGGATTTAGCAGGTGTTGGTGGTTCACGCCTTTAATACCCACACCCCACCCTTAACTCTGTCATGATTGAATGTAAGTAGCTCAGGGCAATAGTGAATAAACAGATATGGCAGTATTAGCAAAACTCTCAAACAAGTCAAACTGAATTTTATTAAACACTTGCATATTGACAAGGGAGAGGAGGGTTCCCGTCTTATTAAGTCACATTTGTACTTCATGTCATAGAAAAGAGTCTGCAAGTACACATTGTAATAGCTGACTCGGCACTGCTAAACGTTTGTTTGGTGTTAACCCTGAGCCCAGGTGGCCTTGGGAATACTCTGCACAGCAAGTTCAAGAGAAACAAGAGGGAAGCTGCAGCACTATGACTCTCAGAGACAAGGCTGACCACCTGATCAGAGCAGGAAGACTAAACTTTGAAAAGGTTGTCTGCTTCTGTTTTCATTTCATTAAAGACAACTGGCTGGAAATCAGGAGGCAAATAGAGGATGCTAATCTGTTGTCTCCTCAGATCACAAGGTTTCTAAATAAAGTGGCTTAATGACTCACTTCCTGTTTTCTACTCATTGGTGTTTGTTGTGACAGGTAAAAGGAACTGCATTTTGATGACAGTATCACACAATCTACTTTCACCCTTTGATAGCTAAACTGTGGTATAGTTTGCAAAGCTTAAACATTTATTCTGTGGTTCTTGACAAGAAAAGTTTGTAGATTTGTAATAGATGAAAATAGAGGGTGGAAGGTGGTGACTCAGTGGTTACGAACACATGCTGCTCATCCAGAAAATGTCCCTGATTCCCATGTCAGAAGGCTCTCAGCCCCTACTACCTAGCTCCGGAGGGATCAGACTTTTGGCCTCTGAGGATGCACAAACACACGTGGCACAAGGACACACCACACACAGCGAAATGGGGCATTAGTTGATTTTTAAAATAAAGGTCACGAGGGTGAAACTCCCATGATGGCATTCGTAGCTTTATATTTATTTATTTACTGTGTGTGTGTGTGTATGCCAGAGGTTAATTTTTGTGAGCAGGTCCTCGCCTTCCATTTTGTTGAGGCAGGCTCTCTTCAAGTTATTACAATCTAGCTGGCCCTCCTGTCTTCATCTTTCATCTCAGGAGGTCAGGCTTGCCCAGCAACCCATCTCACTCCCTTTCTCTCCTCTCATCTTGTCTTTGATCATTTCTGAAGCTGAGTGATTCCTTATGAAAGTTCACTTTGCTAAGTTTACTTCATTGTGCTTGATGGGAATTAAACACAGGGTATCTCAGATATTAAGCTGAGCTATAACATTGAGTAACGTTTTCACAATAGTGTTTTAAAATTTTTAGATTTAAAAGATGGTTAATCTTACGCTTTTCTCTTCCTTTCAAACAACAACAACCAAAAAAACCCCTTATGAATGTTGTGTGGGGCTAATAACAGACTCTTGCCCTTTGCTTCTTTTTTGAAAGACAGAAGTGATTCTAAGTTCTTGGTGGAGCAATATCCTTGGAATAGTCACAGACATAGTACAAAGGCACCAACACAAGTAAAGGAAAGGATTTTTGTCTTGGAGGTGTGTCCCAGGACCAATCGCGTGGCTACAAAGAAATCAAATCGAAATCCTCTCTAGATGTCACCATAGAGTCCCTGGCGCTCAGCTGACCTGCAGAGGCAAAGCAGGAGCCAGGCGAGGGACATTCCGTCCGCCCCACCTAGCAGGGGCGGGGCGCGACGTCAGCACGTCGGTCCTCACGTCCAGCTGGGAAAATACTGACCTGAGAGCCCAGGCTGGCGCAGGCCGCCCGCAAAGTCCAGGAGCCGAGCGCACTGCGGCTGCGCGAGCATGCCGGGGGTGGGGCTTCTGTACCGAGCGGCCCCTGAGGAGCGGCGGCCGGAGGGCCTGGTAAATCCCGAGACGCCGGAATGGTTAGCCGAGGGGCTGCTCCGCCCCCGGCTCCTCCCCGCCCCCGCCTCCCGCCGGCTCAGCTTCGGGTTGACACGGGGCTTAGCTCGGCAGGGCGGAGGGCAGCAAGTTAGCCCGCGGCTGGGTGGCGGCGGCAGGCCTGAGCGCGGTGAGGGGGCGCGGAGGTCGGGCGGAGGCGGCTGCCGGGCGCCGAGCGGGGTAGCGGGAGGGCCGGGGCGCGTGGGGCGCGGGGCTGCAGCCTGAGGGGCGCGGCCGGCCGGGCGGGTCCGGCTGGGGCCGGTTGGAGTTGATTGGCGTGCCTGACGTTTGTCGTACTTGCTCTTAGCGGGGACGCGGGGAGCTCCCCCGGAGGTGGTCCCTGCCTCGGGGTGCTGGCTCCTTTCCTCTAGCGTGGAGAGGTAGAGGCCAGGTAGACAGGGGTAACGTTCACGGTGTAGATGGTTAAAACAAACAAACCAGGAATTCCTCCGGCCCTCCCCCACGCCCTGCCCTGCTACGCTGCAAACATTCCCAGCAACTTTTAAGTAGCAGGCTAGAGATCGCAGAGATTTGATGTTTGATCCGTGTTTCTGGTCTTTTAAGTAAAGGCAAACACGTTATTAGAGAGTAGTTTTCTCTTGCCATCTATTGTAGTTTTGGTGGTGAACATGCCTGGAAGATTTTAGTACTTTATGTTGATGTTAGTCGCGGGGTACAAAACAGCTTCTCTGAGATCCAATCAGATTAGAAAATTATTATCCCTTTTATTGGGTAAGCAAGGCAGACAAATATTTGTATAAAAAAAATGAATGTAGAAAAACGTTGGGTATTTTTGTATTTCACAGACTTATTTACAAGCCCAGCTACTACTGATGAAGATGTGTTGGGAGAGTGGCTGCTGAAATTGACCTTTACTGACCCGAGACAGTTTTATTTGTTTTACTTGTTTATCCCCCTGCTTTGAGTTTTACTGCAACGGCTGAGAAACTTGAAAAATAAAATAACATGCTGTGGTCTTGAACCTTCTTTCTGAGGAAATACTGAGGTGCCAAAGTGGAAAGCCAGAATGGCAGCCAGAGAGAGGCTCTTTGAACTTTGGATGCTTTATTGTACAAAGGTAATTGCTTTTATTTCTGTACTTAAAAATACGTGATTATAAAATTTTGTATTCAGCATTATGATCTCAGATGCCTAGTGTGTTTGTTCGTATTAATAATCCTGAATTGGCAGGTGTGGTGGAACATGCCTTTAATGCCAGCACTTGAGAGCAGAGGCAGATGGAGAGAGAGTTCTGTGAGTTCAAGTCCATTCTAAGAGAGTTCTAGGAAAGCCAGGGCTGCATAGAGAGCTCCTGTCTCAAAACAAAACACCCTAACAGCAGCCTCCCAATCCTGAATTTTAAAAACATTTAAGAGATTTTGTATTTTCCATAGTTTTTCAGATTTGAGTACATTGACCACTGGCCTATTATTAAAAACTTAACAATGTGTTTTTTGATATTGTCTTCAATGATCTCAAAATTATATAGGTAAAATTGTGCCTATGAAAGGAAAATAAAACTTTTTTTGTGTGTGTAGGATGTGTGGGACACACGGGTGCCATGGTACTTTTATAGAGGTCTGGGGACAGCTTTGTGGATTTGGGTTTCTCTCTCCACCTTTCCATAGCTACCTAGGGTTGTATTTAGGTCTGCCGGATCATGTGGCCTATGCTTTAACCATGGAGCCATTTTACTTGGAAACAGTTGACCTTTAATGCTGTTTTTGGCTTAAGGACTCTTTTGTGAGGATATTAAACTTTTTTCAGCAGCCTTTTATGATTTTATTTTTATTGATTTGAGGTGGTTATGTGATTACCATTGTGTTAGCACATACTAGCACTATCTCATTTGATACTAACTAGAGTCTGGAAAGGTGGGTATTGTAATTATTCCTTTTCACTGATGAGAGAACTGGTGTAGGAGTGAATTTGAAATCCAAAAGCACGTGATTCAGGTCCCCATGCTTTAAAAAATCATTTTAACTCTGTAAGGTTTTGCCATTCAGAAATAATTTCTTGGACTTACTTCATGTGGATTTTGCATGGAAAGTTAGATTTTAGGTCATTGATACTAATTGAGGGTGCTTCTCAAGTAAGGATCCATACTACTACTTTGAAGATACTGGCAATGGCCAGAGAAGCATCCTTAGTATATTTAAGTTAACTTAGGTATTTGTGATTATGCTCTCAGGTCACAGCCTGCAGTTTTACATTATTTTTTTGGGGGGGGGGCTTTTTTCTTTTAATATAATTTCAGATATTTTATTTTATTTATTTTTATTTTATGTGTGTTGACATTTTGCCTGCATGTTTGTCTTTGTGAGGGCATCAGATCTTGGAGTTACAGATAGTTGTTAGTTGCCACATGGGTCCTGGGAATTGAACCCAGGTCCTCTGGAGGAGAAGTTAGTGCCACTGAGCCACCTCTCCAGCCCCAATTTCAGCTATTTAAAAATCAAATTATTCCTTAAAAGCCATCTACTTTTCACTGGAGTTTTCCTTAACTTCCTGGTTAGATCTCCAAGTTGAAGGCCAGCCTGATCCACATAGAGAGTTGCAGGTCAGCCACTGCTACATTATTAAAGTATATCTCTGTACATACATATGTGCACAGACGTGCACACATACATATTTTGAAATGTTACTATGAAATTTTAAAATAGCTTCCAGGCTTATGTAATTGACAGAAACATCTTTAAAAAATAGACAACCCTTTCAATAAAAAGGGAATCTATTGCATCCAGACACTTTTGAACATAGTCACTAATTAATACTTTAGCCAAAAGTTAAAATGAAATTTAAATATGATTGTCTAATAATTTTAAAATGACTTGTTAAAAATATATCAAACTTTCTAATTTTCACCATTTTCAGAATAAGAAAAGGTAAATTAGATTACATTGTTTTACTAATTATGTTTTTTTCTAGGTAGATTGAGTGTCAGTATTGAAAAGATTTTATGTTATTGACATTCCCTGTGTTTTTTTTGTTTGTTTGTTTTGTTTTGTTATATACATGAATCCTTTTGTCATGATCTCAGGTTGTGTCCCTGAGCTCGATTTAACCCTACTGTTAAATTTTGAAGCCTTTCTTCTTGACAGAAAGATAAATTTGATTTTTACCATTAAATTTAAATCATGTTTCGTCTTAATAGAATTTATTTTTATTGTTTCAAAGAATGGCTGTTTAAAAATTTTGATTTTTTTTGTATATATTATCAGTTCATGGGTAGATGATGAACTTGTTAGATAACAACTTCTAAGTGTACAGCTCACAAATGGAACTCATCTCCCCACTGAGGTTGCTAACCAGTGGATGATTGATCTTTGGCCCTATCCTATTGTTCCTACTCTAGCAGTTAGTCCCTCAAAACATGATTTCCCACCAACATCGGACACATTTTAAGGTCTTTTTGCTTTGCATTTTATTTATTTATTCATTTATATATTTATTTGGGATTTTCAAGGCCTGGTTTCTCTGTGTTGACCTGGTTGTCTTGGAACCAAGTTCTATTAGACCAGGCTGACTTCAAACACAGAGATCCACTTGCCTCTGCCTCCCAAATGAGGGGATTAAATGTATATAGCAGTACCACCCAATTGCGTTTTATTCTTTTGATGAGTTTTCATGCAATTTAAAGACTTTCCAGATCTTCTAAAAACATTATATCAGCTTAGTTCTGAGATCTTCTTAGCCTTTGTGGCTTCTAATTGTGAGGTACAGTTTTGGCTCTGATATTTTGTTTGTGACCATGAGTAAGACTTTTTGTGCTTGTTTTGTCATTTGCTAAGTAATATTGTATGCTTAGGGAGGATGCTTGTCCAACTCACCAAGGTTTTTTATTTGTAGACTTACATGATGTATGGATGTTTTGCCTGTGTATATGTCTTTGCACCACATTTCTGCCTGGTGTCGATGGAGTCTAGAGAGGTCATGGGATCCTCTGGAACTATAAATATGGACATTTGTGGCCTGGGGATTGAACCTAGGTCCTCTGGAAGAACAGTCAGTGTGCTTAACCTCTGAGCCATCTCTTCAGCTTCAGATTTTTTTTTCCCTTTTTGAGTTAATGAATCTCTGTGAGGTTTTGAAAATTGTTTATCTTTGGATTTGGGTACTTGTAAACTGGCAAGTGTAGAGCCTTGATTCAGGTTCTAGTTTGGGTATGATAGGCTATAATAGTTCATAAATGCAGTCTTCACCAATTATTTTTATCTATTTTATGAGGATTTTTTCATGACTAATATTAAAGGACCTTTTATTTGTAAGGATATATAGAGAATAACCTTTTATCATTTATTGATGGTTTCCTTAAAAGAAAGTCATGCTGCGTAAATGATTGATTCCCTTTGCCAACTTCTAGAACAGTGATTTGATTAACAAAATGAACAGTTTCTCTGGAATGCTGAAGATTATTTTTAATTAATTAATTAATTTGTAAAAGTATTTATTATATATAGTGTTCTGCCTGACTGTATGTCTGCATGCCAGAAGAGGGCACCCGATCTCATTCCAGATGCTTGTGAGCCACTATGTGGTTGCTGGGAATTGAACTCCGGACTTCTGGAAGAGCAGCCTGTGCTCTTAACCTCTGAATCATCTCTTCAGCACCCCCTCCCATTTATTTTTAATGATTAAAATTTAAACAGTGTTTACCATTTTGCTACTCCACTTGATTTTTTGAGTATATGAAACATTGTATCCATACCCAGTTAAAGAAGAAATCTTTGACGATCACGCAGTGAATTTATGACATCTTTCATAATTGCCACAGTGCTAAACTGACTTCGGTACATGTACTCCAGTACATCAGTAGTAAGTCACTCTTGTCATGTTTTGGATGTTGCCACTGATTAGTTTGAAAGATTAGTAGAAGCACCCTTGGCTTATACTGCTTTGTAGAAGGAATGCTATGGACTGTGTCTACTTACTCATCTGAGTTCAAAACTAAATGTTAGGAATTAAAATCTGAGTAGAAGCTTCTATTTTAGCAGGTGGATCTCATATTTGTTGAACATTTGGTAAAACACTTGGTATTTTTCTTATTTTTAATAGGTTTTTCTTAAATTAGCCAGTATTTATGGAGTGTGCTCTGTTTTAATACATGTACACATGAGATAAGCCAGGCTAATTAACATATATATTCCCTCACATAATTACTTTGTGATGTGCAGTTTGTTTTGTTACCAAATGTTTCAGATATAATTTTTCTTACGTTATACTTCCAACAGTAGGGTTTAATTGCATTGTTTGAAATATGGCTATTTATAATAGATTTGTTGACTTATGTATTTCTTACATAAGAAGATACAGTATTCCTGTTCTCTGAACATTGCTTCATTAGTGCATGTGACCACTTATTCAACTTACGTGTAGTCTGAACATTCTTGCTTTCAAAACCATCTCTGCCTAAGGTCAAGGATTTGCTTGACAGTGCATTACATACAGCTCTTAAAAGTTAGACATTAAATTTGAACAGCTCTAATCTAGTATCTGATTTTTATACTTCTCTGGATATATTTATAGAGTAGACAGTTAATTTGGATGTTCTCTCTTTGCCTTTTGATTAGTTTGGATAAGGGTTTGTCAGTCTAAAGAACCGGTGCTATGAACTTTCCTCGTAGCACTGCTTTCATAGTGTCCCATAGGTTTGGATTCGTTGTGCCTCCATTTTCGTTGAATTCTAGGAAGTTTTTAATTTCTTTATTCATTTATTCATTGACCCAGGGGTGATTCAGTAGTTCACTATTCAATTTCCATGAGTTTGTAGGCTTTCTGAGAGTAGTATTGTTATTAAATTCTAACTTTTATCTGATAAAAAGGGGGTTACTCCACTTTTTTTTTGTATCTGTGGATGTTTGCTTTGTTACTGAGTATATGATCAATTTTAGAGAATGTTCCATGAGGTGCTGAGAAGAAGGTATATTCTTTTTTGTTTGGGTGGAATGTTCTATAGATGTCTGTTAAGTCCATTTGATTCATTACATCTGTTAATTCTCTTATTGCTCTGTTAAGTTTCTGTCTTGTTGACCTGTCCATTGGGAAGAGTGGAGTGTGTTGAAGTCTCCTACTATTGGT